TATACCTAGTACTCCGATCCTATCTTTCCGACCGCTCCTTCCGAGTTCGCTGTGGCACCGAATTCTCCGACTGTTACTCAATTGAGGCTGGCGTTCCTCAAGGCAGCGTCTTGGGCCCCATCCTTTACATTCTCTTTACCGCTGATATTCCTGTCCATCCCGATACCCTCCTGGCAACTTTCGCTGATGACACTGCTATCCTTTCTTCCAACTCAGATCCTGAAACAGCGTCCGCAAACTTACAAAGGCACCTCTTCCTGATTGAACACTGGTGTAAGAAATGGCGCATTAAGGTAAACGAATCTAAATGTAAACACATTACCTTCACCCTTCGGCGTAATACCTGCCCACCAGTTTATTTTAACTCCATCCAGCTTCCTTTCTCAGATACAGTCCGGTATCTTGGCTTTCTCTTAGACAGACGACTAACATGGAATCCACATACTCGACTTAAAAGACAGGAACTTAACAGACGATATGGCCAGCTATATAGACTACTGAATAGAAAATCTAAACTTTCTGGTGAAAACAAATTACTGATCTACAAGACAATACTGAAACCCATCTGGACTTACGGACTAGAACTATGGGGAACAGCCAAATTTTCTAACATCAAACGCATTCAATCCTTTCAGTCTAAAGTCCTCCGTACAATAGTCAATGCTCCCTTCTATGTAACCAATAAAACCCTACACCATGACCTTAATATCCCATTTATTCTTGATCTTATCCCAGCCAAATTTTCCAAATTTCACCAGAACCTTTCTCATCACCCAAATCCCGTTGTACAATCCCTATCAAGCACCACCCATCCCTACAATCCCCTTCGTAGGTTAAAGCGGCAGTGGCCACGAGACCTTTTGTAAATATGGATATTTTGGAGTTCTAGCAATGGCCAGATTCTCCACTCAAGTCATGAGTGTCTGTGGCTGTAGCGCTCTTACTCATCCTCCGCTGGTTTAAAATACCAGTGAAGTGGCTGAGGGAGAGGCGTAGGGATCTCCTAAGCCTCCCTTTTCCCTCCACATGTGGAGGGGACAGGATTGGTTCGGAGATCACCTGGCAAATTGTAAATAATGTATGTTTTATATAAGGTGTTTGTTTTACTTTTATTTCTATTTTTATTTACTTATGTGTATATATATATATTTTTTTTTCTTTACTCTTTTGTTCTTTCTTCTTATTCTTTTGTTATTACTTTATTTATTTATATTTTTGTATATACGGTATGAATGCAATCTCTGAACTCTATTATAAGTGTCCTTAACTGTGACAAATTGTAATATTTCTGAATAAAGTGTTTTAATAATAATAAGTATAAGTAGGAAAGTAAAAAAAAATAAAAGACGAGTCAACTTACGTATTTAAATAACTAAACTGGCATATATTATTTCTGGCTGGTACTAAATAAAACGCGAAAGAGTTTACAAAATAATTTATTATTTATTAACTAGTTTTTAAAATGATATATTTTGTATTAACCGAAACAAATGATTGTAGCCGTAGAAATGTGGTGGTCCCATCGCCCGGTCAAAGTACCGCAGACAACCACTGGTCCTCCAGGTTGGGGGAACACTAAACTGACGCTCACACAAATACACTAAAAACAGCACACTACACTCACCCCCACACTACAGACTAAGGTCAATAACACTACACACCCTAGGGTCACCTTTCCTAGGTAGCCGTCCCATCATCGCCCCTGGAGGGGAAACAAGTCAGATGGCTTCGAGGAGGCAGCCCCTCCATCTGAATCGGAGGCAGCTGGTCTGATAACCCCTTCCTATTAAACAAAATTATTACGAAATCTAAAATAATCAAGCAAGAGTGTCAAGATGCCCGGACGATCCTAGGGGTCAGGGACTGGTGTACTGCTGCCCAACAGCGCGCAGACTGGTGGATGTTATTGGAGGATGCCAGGGATCAGTAATTGACTGTCGAGCCAATGAAAGAAGGAGAAGAAGAAGAAACCAATAATTGATAAATCACGTAGCTAAAACTTTATATTAGGGTGTTCTGTAAGTTTCTCCTTTTTTTTTTTTCTTTTTTTTCAGGTTGATGTACTGTGTAATATATAAAGCTTCTTCCGTTTTTCAGGAAGCCTTATTATTCCCTCTTTCTAAAATTGTTGAAACATGCAAAATATTCATAGAAGACCGTTCATGATTCACTTTCGGATTTGTAACATTTATTACGAATTGAATTATTAAAATAAGTAATAATCGAATGGAGAAAGATCTCGGGAGTTCGGAGGATGTGGTAGAACGTCCCGATCAAACTGTGACCGTTTCTGACTTACGTCTAGCGCGTTCTGCCGTTTTGACCTTCATGGAGGATAATAGGGATTGGTGGTTCTAGACTGGGATAGTGCACGGGGATTCGGATGATAAGTAAAGTTCTGGTGAAATTTGAAGATTTTTTTATGATAAGGTTTAAGACAAATAGGACATTGAGGTGATGGTTTTTGAATATTACATAGAAAGCAGTATCGACTATTAAAACATAAAGTAAACTGAAACACGCAAAAAGACTAAAAAACAGCTTATTACTTTATATATTCTGATTTCCTCCTCTGTGGCCTAATTAAAATTAGTTAGATGTTTCCATAGTTGTAGTTTTTGTTTTATATTTTTATTTGGAAAAATGTTGGCAACATCATTTGCAAATGTAGCCAGTAATGAACATAGATGTTTTCTAAAAATTTAAGACATGTAAATGCTAACGAGTAAGGATCCTTGAACATTATTCGGTGAAATTTCCTTTATATCCTTTTTTACTTTAAAGTTCAACTCTAGACGCCAAATTCGTGATTAAATACATTTGATTCAACATTCTAATATTTATTAAAATTAATTGAACATGTTTAGGATTTTTAAATACGTTACGAATTTCTTTTTTCAGAAAAAAGGAGTCTGCATTGGAATTCATAATTACAAAACTTTTTTTAATTATCCTTTTAACAGCCAATATGTGAAATAATTTTTTATTGTGCTATAGTATTGTTATTGTTAGAATTATAAATTATGGAGGCCAAAAATATTAGTGAATAACAATATTCAATTACATACATAAACCAATTTATAATACCATCTACCTTCTCTGGATAATTATATTAATGAGATCAAATTCATTTGGAAATCCTTGCAGAAATAAATTGACGGTGAACCCTGATGTAACAAATACATTCATTTGAATTTAGAAAACGGATGAAAAGTTATATATATATATATATATATATATATATTATATATATATATATATTATATATATATATATATATATATATTATGTATATATATATATATATATATATATATATATATATATATATATATATATATATATATATATATATATATATATATATATATATATATATATATATATATATATATATATAAGGTGTTTTCTGTTGAAATATAATATTGAATTATCTCCCAAATATAAAATGATATATAACTGTCATAAGCTTGACAACAAGCAGATGCGTTGTAATAACAATATTTATGATACCTCACTTTGAGAAAACTTATTCATTTAATAAGCTTTAAGTCTGTATTTAATAAGTTGAAGTTCATTAGGGAAAAATTTGAGATTCACCACTAGTTGTATAAAAAAAATATGTGATTTTTTTATCCTGCTCAATATAAGTACCTCTGTTTTCATTAAAAGTTGCTACAATTAATTGTTGTAAAGGTTTTATATATTTTTTTTATGATCTGGGATGTTCGTTATATAATGAATATAATTGCATAAATATACCTTTTATTTATAAAAAAAAAAATTTAAAATCAGTATTTTTCGATAAAGTATTTATGAGACTATGTATTTCATCCAGATCTATATTATAGGAATTTATCTGTATTTAAAAAGAACAAACTATATGTTCCTGATTCTAATATTATTATTATTATGTTATAATCATTAAAATAATTGAAAAAATCATCAGGTTTCATTTTTTAAACGTACATTTTAGAACTAGAAACATTTATTTTGTCATATATAAATTCCTTGTATTTAAATCATGGTAAAAAAAAAAAAAAATTTTAAAAACTTAACATAAAAAATATTTTAAAAGTTATTATTTTAAGCAGTTTTCTTTTCAAAATAAAAAGTATATATAGGTAATTATTTTTAATATAAATCATTTCAAAAAACAGAAGAACAAGAAATAAAAACTTTGTAACAAATAGTTGCCGTTTCTGCAGAAAACAGGGATAATTTTACTTGACAGGATACAAAGACCACTTTTTTTTTTAAAAAACATCTTGAGGTCCTTCTCAAGTTTTTGCTATCAAACCTCAAATTAATGAAGATGGACATGAAGCTTATTAAACGAGTATTTTTTTCTAAAAGTAGCTATCTGTAGTATAGTTAGATGATGATGAAAAAATTGCAAATAATTTGTGTCTTCTTCTAAACAGAATTTAGCAACTCAGAAGTCTCCTATGAATGATTTTAACCATGACGAACTCTGATTTTTACAAAAAGTAAAATTTGTCTAAATTACAATGAAGCAATTTTTAGAGGGTCCGACTGGAGTTCCCTCGCCTGATTGCAAGTGTTTTTTTTTTTGCTTAGTTTTAATTTTCTTATTTTTAGGTTATTTTATTTTATTATTTATTGTGTATACTTTTATTATTTTGCTCCTATTTATTTTACATTTTTTGTACATATGGTGTGAATGTTATCCTACCTCGCTATAACCAATGTCAAAGAGACAGATTGTTGTAATACTCAATAAATAAATAAATAAAAAAACATAATTACTTAGAAACACAAAACTTGTTTTTTTTTTTTTTTTACTTTTCTGCTGAAATTTAGTCCGTTCTTTATATAAGCTTTTCATAGATCTTGAGGTGTACTATAACTTTTATAAATATTTCTCTCTACTTACGGAACATATATAAGATAAATTGTAAAGAATAACGATAAAACATATTACATTTATGTTATATATTTTTTCTTTAATAACATCATCTTTAAAAATCAATGCTTACTTGCAAGGAGCTCGGAAGAGGGCAGTTCCTGTTGTACTCTACCCCGGGACAGAAGACCTCCTTGCTGTACTTGGCCGAAACGAGGGCGATCGAGGTTCCCTGGGGGCAGGAGAGGCCCAGCTCGTGGCAGCCAGACCGCTGCAGCTGTCGAAGGCTACTGCTCAGCAGCTCTGCAACAAGTCATAGGTAACGTATAATTAATCACAGATATAGATACCAGGTATCTAAAAGATGCAGATATAATCTACTATAGTTTACAGACAGATATTTCCCACCAAAATAACTGTTAAGATGACCCTGGAGCAAAAAATATTGGGTTGAGGGGAATTGGGTTAAAGAGTTTTTGTCGAACTCCAAGGATATTCCAGGAAATGATATTCTTTTTCAGGACCCTACGCTCTTATAATTTAGTATTATTCCACCGCACAGAACCCTTTTTAGCGTAAACTTTCACCTAAAGCTTCGGAAGTGGCTCCATTGAAGCCAAGTTACAACATTTTCATCAACCAATAAATTCTAAAATGCGGCATTTTCAGTTTGGAAGTCAGTAAACTTTGTCTATTGAACCAGGAACTAAAAACACTTGAAAACCCATTGCTTTTCAGTAGAATCATAAGATAATATGGTCACGAAATCGAGACAAAAGATGATTTACAAACAGATTGACGTTATCACCGTCCCCAACATTTCAAAAGAACGAGGTCACAGTGGCCAACCGGTAGAATATTTTTGTATACCACAATTTTTCTCGATTTTGTGATGAAATTATCTTCACAATTATCTTCTATCCGGGAACAAAATAGCTCAATGATATTCATAAATTTTTAGTACATCATTAAATTAATTAGTTGCGCCTAAAACTCCACATTTCTGAAATTTTACGTGAATAAATGTATAATATAAACGAATAGGTTACGATAAAATAAAGACACTCAAAAAGTTTTAAGCGAGTATAAATAATTTGATAAAAACATATCAGTACCGAAAATACATGTACAAAGCTATATGCGGGGATAATGTAATAATAACTGCATAGTTCTGTGAGGTTATTCTAAATTTACGGTGTATTGTTAAATTGCTATATTATCGATGATGGCTCTAATCGACGTTCCGAAGTACGGAGATGATGTTGAATAAATCGGGACATGAATAAATAATTGTGCATTGAACTGCCAATTTTTTCCACAGGTATAACGATATCGTGACGATGTTTATAGAAAAATCCGAAATGTGCAAGAAAAAAATAATATTTTGTTGCTTGAAAAACTAGTTTTGTGAATAAAATCTCTATTAATATTGCTTAAAAATATAGTAAAAACTATGAAAGAAATAGCCCTAAACTTGTTTTCATTAATATTGGTTTACAAATGAAATGTCTATAGATCGACTTTGTAAAAAAAATAAATATTTTTGTATAAACTTTTTTCGGATTTAAAATCTGAGTAAATCATAAAAAAAGGCACTCAACTGGAACAAAAGACGTTGCGTTGTCAATAATGGACCTTATACCAAAAAAGGGTTCATTTTTGGCTTAACTCGCTTATTTCCTGTGTGCCATTGGACTTATAATGTATTCTTTTTAAAAAAATACACGATTTTGTCAGAAAAATAACAGTTCCATCGAACAAAGAAACATTAATTACATTAAAGAAACAAGCCTGAACACTAATAATCTATTAGAACGAACAGAACCGTTTATCACTTGGAATCTGTTGCATGAACCTCGGAATCGTGTCCATATTTCACAAAGCTATTTGCCAACAGGTCTCATGAAAGTCAGATATGATCAGATTCTTGTTAGCTGCTGATGCTTCATTGGAAATCTAATTTATACTTAGATCGATAGTTTCTTATTCGATGATTTTATCGAGAAATATGTATTAGGCCTTTTGAAGTAACACAATCTTTTTTGTCATCCATCAATCTGCTGTTTTATAAATATACTATTGTGGAGTAAGTGCTTGATAATCGCATATAACTATAATATTTTTTATTTTTATAGCTAGATTTTTCTTTTAAAATATATCCGTGAGATTATTATGTTTGAAATCTGTAGCTACTCTTCTTATCACACGATACCGAACTCAAAAGCTGGAAACTATCTTCAAACGATGTGAGTTTAAAAATTAAACCATAAAAAATTAAATAATGTAATATTTTTATTTTTATATTATTATTATCCCTAATTATGATATTTTATTTTGTTCGTATTTGCTGTATATCATTTTACTACTACCTTATTTATGATTCTGTAAATATGGTGTGAATGCGCTCTCTGAACTCTATTATATGTGTCCTGAATTGGGACAGATTGTAATATTTATCAATAAGCAAGTAAAAAAAAGTGTGATCAATGCTATAAAAATGTAAACACAAAATATATTAATGACTAGCTGATTTAAAAGAAATAAGCCTAGTCGATAAAAAATGATACACGGTTTTTTTATTATTATTATTTATGAAATTTACAATTAATATACACCCAGCAAACATCATACAGATAAATAAATGACATGACAAGGCTTATAGAGAATCTACCCATTGGTAGAACTGTAATAAAGTTTCTAAATTAGGAGATCACGAGGCCATCTCCTTTTCACACGCCTAGGATGGTTATTATGGATGGAGGAGAAAGCAAGGCTAGACGAGAGGATTAGGATGGTTCTGAAGTTTATTATGGTAGGATAGGTATCTGGATTGGGAAAAATCGGAAACATATGGAACATTCAGGTAATTATGGATTATTTTATTTGTTACAAAGTAAGGAGCATTAAGGAATTTAAGAAGGATTTTGGATTGTAAAGATTGAATACGAGAGTAATTCGATGATTTAGTGGAGTCCCAAAGCTCAACTCCGTAAGACCAGTGGGCGGGGTAGCCGAATGGGCTAAAGCGTGTGCACTGCACCGCCGTTGCCTGGCAACCTGACATATGAATTAAAGATATAAAAATAGGCACGAGTTCGCGTCCCGGTGCCGGGGGAGTCTTTTAAATCCCCGCCCACACCCCCTGGCCCGGGAAAATCCCGTAAAAAAAAAAAAAAAAAAAAAAAAAAAACTCCGTAAGACCAAATAGTATGGTCATGTATATGAGTCGTTTGTAATTCATTGGAACTTGATAAACATATAACATAAACATCCAGTAAGTGTTGGAGTAAGCGGAAACGCCGAGCAGTTTCTTGTCGTTTCAGTCTGGTATAAGGATACTGATACACCTGAATAAAAAAAAACGAAAAATCCATACTAAACGTTCCCTGGTATCTAAATAACATATCGACTTCAAACTACCAACTATCGAGTAGCACATAGGTACTTTTTATTCTCTTTTATATAATAAACTTCAGAGACTTAACAATATACGTATGAATATCATGACCGTAACTGACACAAATCAGAATGCGAGTTTCTGGACGAAAGATCTCTTTTCTTGAATTAAGGAACTAAACACAAAACGAGAAGTGGTGTTGGAGGATATTATATTTCCGCATACATTAAACGTTAAATTAAAATTCAACTTATTTTCTGATCGTCACATACATGACTGCTACCGAAACGGCATTAAGTGAAAAAAAAAATGTTTTCTTGCATAACTTATATATTTTCAAAATATTTGCAGAAATGTCTGACATTCGTAATGTTCTTTATAGTAAAAAGATAAACGAGGAAAAAAAAGGACTAAAAATGATAGCTTATAAGCAATTTAACTTTTATAGAAAACTGTTAAGATCGGATAAAGTGGATCTCTTCAAACGTTATTTGATATGAAGTATCCACTTCAGCTAAGTTATGCGAGCCATATTCTGTGAAGCCATCGCGGCGATATGAGCACTGAATATATGAGACTATCGATGATTTCATAGGTGCTCCTACTTTTATCGAGTGCTTAGTAAGCAGGTACTCTACCTTTAGGCGAGGCACGGAGTTAACTATGGCAAGGGGAGGAAGTTTTGATTAACAAGTGAATAATTACTTACCGAGCCATGTAGTCAAGAGCCAGAAAAGTGGTTGAGGGAACTAAACTGAGCTTCCATACAAGGCAATATCGGAACAAAAGGCTAAAGTCGAGGCTATCAAGTATAGCTTTGTGATCGTAATATCTGTCCAGAGTTACGCCATCGAAAACCTAATGTGTCAGCAACTCCATCTATCAGCAGAAATAGGAAATATAAGCTCCTTCTCTCAGGAGCCTTGTAGTTTCATTAGCTAATTCTGACAATCAGTCCCTAGATCTTACCTTAAATATTTTGTTAGCCATTTTGGTATTTTAATCTTATTTTCAATAAATTATTTTTAAAATGTATTCGGCAGGCTACATTTATTTAACTCACGATTGGAAGTAGGATTTCACTTATCTTTTATATAAATATTTGATCTATTGATTAGTTTAATTTTATTTGTGTATGCAATCACAAAACAAAAACTGCAAATCTTAAACTACGTCTGTTATTATTTATTTCTTCTAAGATGTTCGAAATTACAACTTAGTAATTCAATACTTATACTCAGTTAAACCTATTTGGACTAACACAGATGACATGATAATACAAAAAATAATGAGATGCACGGAACGGGAAAGGAGTGTTTCCAGAACTGCTTACTTGGCTTAATTCAGTTACCAAACCAACACGCCTTATCCTCAAATCACACATTTGACTTTGACAACACCTCCATTCTAGCCACAGTACCCAACCATGACAAAAGACTACTCACGGAAAGTGGTTTCATTCAATTAGAATACAAACCACTTAACCTAAAAACAGACAAACAATACCTGCCCCTCGCATATACCCAAATTATTAACATATTAAAAAATTCTTAATCAATATAGAGTTCTGCGCATGCGTTAGCCCTAGTTAAACATACGGCAGGTCGTCTCTTATAAAAATCTCATTTATCAGTGGCAGTATACAAGTTTAATGTGAACAATTAGTGTTATCAGTTACATTAACAATTACGTTTGATACTGGACAAAAAAATAAGGTGAGTAATCACTTATTTACAACACAAGAGTGAACAGTGTAAATAGACCTTAGGTTAGTTAGATAACGGCCAGCCATAAGCTGCAACAGTCGTTAATACCAGTGGGCTAGATCCCTCCGTCGGAGGCAGATCTGTGTTCTCCAAGAGCGCGTCTGTATTTTCGTGTTCAATAAAATTTTTTTTTTTTCCTCTCTTCACTTTTATC